GCGCAGCCCGCGCCGGCCCCGCCGCGTCCCCGGCGCTGGCAGAAGCTTCGAGGCAGCGGCGCGGCTCTCCGGCCGGGCGCTCAGTGCTGTCCCTGGTGGCGGCCGACGGGGCTGCACTTAAAGGGGCCGCGGCGCAGGTGGCGCTGCGCGGGGCGGGGGCAGTCGGACGCGTGCCGGCCGCTGGCGGGGAGTCCCACCGGGACCCTCCTGGGAGACCGTGCTAACTCGGGGGCCGCGCTGGTCCTGCCAGACCCCAGCTCCTGGGCACCTCCGGAGCACCGTAGCTAGCCGGCCTGGGGCTTCGGGGCAGGCCCTGGAGGGACCTAAGGCCTGGCTGGGCAGAGGCCCGAGAATCGTCCTCTGGCTTGGGCCGGGGCGGAGCAGATGGCAGCTCCCTGCCCGCAGGTCCCCTCCCCAGGAGCCACGCGCCGCGGTGCCAATACCTCAGCGGGCACTCCTGGGCCAGATGGCCTCAGCCCTGGGCCCAAGCCTCGGACCCAGGCAGGCTTTTGCACTTCACCGAGGGCAGCCACTGCCCTGGGCAGGTCTGCAACAGGCCTCTGCCAACTGCTGGGTGACATTCCGCTGCAAACCTGCCAGCCCCGGTTCCACACAAGACACGGGGGTCTGGAGAAGGAACAGCCACTATGCTGGACCTGGTGAGGATGGCGTTCTGCGGAGGGCCCTGGCAGGACCCTCCAGACCCATTCCCACAGCAGCAGACAGACAGCCTTGACCCCGAAGGCTTTGAAGGAAACCTTGGTCGACTAAGCAGCATGGTGTATGGCCCATCGTGTGTCCAGTAACCACCACCTGTCCCCGAGAAATGCAGGGCGGTGGTGACCTGGAGGGGTACACCAGCTGGCTGGCCAACCCCAGGGGCCAAAGGGGGCCGGCAGTGCCTGTATTGTTCACGTGCACTCTCGTTTGGGGCAGAGGACCTGACAGCTGGTCCCCTCTGAAGAGGTGGGCACCAACATCAGGAGCAGAGCAAATAAGGCCGGCCCTCGAGCCCCATGTCACTTTCAGAAACCTGGGATCCCACCACGATGGGGACTGGGCCGACAAGCCCGCAGAGCGACCTCCCCCGGTTTCGCATACACGCACTTACACCGCGGCCTGGCAGCAGGACCACGTGGGGGAACGTGTGAGCTGAGCTCATGGCCGCCGCGCTCCGGGTGCCTCGGTGCGCCTGGTCCTCCGCCGCCAGCCAGGGGGCAGGGGGAGCCGGCTAGGCCCCCTCCCCCAGGGCTCCGCGGCGAGGGCCCGCCCCCAGCGGCGCCCGAAGGCTCCATGGAAACCGCTTTTCCACGGCCCCCCACGCTGCAGGCTGGGCCTGCACCCCTTGTCATCAGAGGCGGCCGCGGGCGCTCTGGGAGCCCCAGGGAGTGGGACCGGGCTGCAGGCTCCACACGAGGCCTTCGCCTCGGGCTGGGCGGGGTACTCAGGCGGTCACACGGGACCCTGGTGGCGGGCTCCCTTGGGGAGGCGTCGCGGTGCCCCCGCAGCCTGCTGAGGGGAGGGAGGAGGAGGTAGGAGGCCGCCCCTCACCTGGCAGGACCTCAGGTGGACACGGCGCCCCAGGTCCCTCCGGGTCCCGGTGTGCCGAAGCATCCCGTGGACATGGCCTCTGGATCGTGGCCGCTGGTCACCGTCCTGGCCCCCATCCCAGCCTCGTGCCCGCCCCCAGATCGCCCCAGGCGCGCAGGACCATCCCCCCCGTCCGCCTCCATCCTCTGCCCGGAGCCAGGCTAGAATCAGGGCCGGTGACGGCACGAGGCTCCACCCCAGGGAAGCGCGCTCCTTGCCGGCTGCAGCTGTCAACAGCTGGGCGCGGTGACAGGCCCTCCCCGGGGCTGGGGTGGGCTCGGGCCCCTCCGAGGTCTCGGGCTTCCCCGAGCCCCCGCGCCCGGCCGGTGCTCCCCGGCGCGCGGCCCTGCCCCAG